TAGTCCTTGAACATATGCAAATCTATAAACTGTTCCATAGTCTAGTCTTTAAACTAGTCCATAGACTAGTATATAAACTAGTCCATATACTAGTATATAAACTAGTCTATAGACTACTATATAAACTAGTCTATAGACTACTATATAAACTAGTCTATAATCTACTTCGTTGACTAATCTATAAACTAGTTCAATGACTTGTCTATAAACTTGTCCATAGACTTGCCCATAAACTTGTCCAATGAGTTGTCTTTAAACTAGCCTATAGACTAGACTGTAAACTAGTCGATGGACTAGTTTTTAATTTAGTATATAGTCATGTCTATAAACTAGTCCATAGAATAGTCCTTGAACATATGCAAATCTATAAACTGTTCCATAGTCTAGTCTTTAAACTAGTCCATAGACTAGTATATAAACTAGTCCATATACTAGTATATAAACTAGTCTATAGACTACTATATAAACTAGTCTATAGACTACTATATAAACTAGTCTATAATCTACTTCGTTGACTAATCTATAAACTAGTTCAATGACTTGTCTATAAACTTGTCCATAGACTTGCCATAAACTTGTCCAATGAGTTGTCTTTAAACTAGCCTATAGACTAGACTGTAAACTAGTCGATAGACTAGTTTTTAATTTAGTATATAGTCATGTCTATAAACTATGCCATAGCCCATAGTCTAGTATATAAATTGTTCCGTAGTCTGGTCTATAAACTAGTCCATAGGCTAGTCTATAAACTAGTTCATAGTTTAGTCAATAGACTAATCCTTAGACCAATCACCAATGTATACCACAAAAGATAAAGTTACATTTTCTTTGTGTTAGCTCTTACTCTTTACTTTTACTTTATTGAAATTTCTTTAATTTTTATTAAATATTAGTAACTACTAATTAAATAATACAAAATGTTTCTTTTAAAGCATTATTTTTGGCAAAAAAATACAGAAAAATGTTTAAAACATCGACTCTAAGACAGAGTTGTTTACTCTTGTTTACTAAACAGCTGCTTTTCTGTGTTGATGGTTTGTTTACCTTTTGCCTAAAGTGCTGCTTCTTATTTTAAATTGTTGTTTTCATACAAGTTAAGAATATTTTGTTAAAAATTAACAAATATTAAAGATTTTAAAGAATATTATTGATTTTAAAGTAAAATTTTCATGTTGTAAAATGTTATTTAAAAAAATTAAAGAAAGAAATCTTTAAAGAAGTAAAAGAGAAACAGAGAGCAAGTTGTTAGGCTTTGTCATTGAAATAGTTGTATGTGGTTTGTTTACAGTTTGTTCTATATAGAGCTGCTTCTTACTTTAAATTGTTTTTTTTTTAATATTAAGGAAATTTTGTTAAAAATTAACAAAAATTAAAGAATATTATTGATTTTAAAGTAAAATTTTCATGTTGCAAAGTGTTATTTAAAAAAATTAAAGAAAGAAGTCAAAGAGAAACAGAGAGCAAGTTGTTTGGCTTTGTTATTGAAATAGTTGTATGTAGTTGTATTTGGTTTGTTTACCTTTTGTTCTAAAGTGCTGCTTCTTACTTTCAATTGTTTTTTGAGCAATTTTAAGAAAAATTGGTTAAAAATTAACAAATATTAAAGATTTGAAAGAACATTATTGATTTTTAAAGTTTAATATTCACATTCTCAAGTGTTGTTTAAAAAATTACAGAAAAAATCTTTAAAAAAGTAAAAGATTGACAGAGAATAAATGGTTTTACTTTGTTATTGAAATGATTGTAGTTGTTTTGTTTACCTTTTGCCTAAAGTGCTTCTTCATACTACAAATTGGCAAAGTTAATAAAATTTTGTGTTAAAAATTAACAATATTTATAGTTTCAATAGATTATAGTTTAAAAAGTTAATTTTTTTTAAATATTATTATTGTAATAAGTATGACAAGTAGTAAAGGGAGAGTGCAGCTTTTGTTTGCATCTCTTTGGTTTGTTTACATTTTGCTTAAAGTGCTGCTTCTTACTTTAAATGTTTTTTTTTTTAAGTAAAATTAATAAAATATTGTTTAAAATTTTATAAAAATTTATCAAAATTAAAAGAATTTTTTAAATTTTATGAAATTTTTAATTAATTTTCATCTTAAGGTACAGAATAATGTTTAGAAAGTAAACAGAAAGAGAATTGTTTTTGTTTTGGCATTAGCTGATTTTGGTTTGTTTACCTTTTGCCTATAATGCTTCTTCTTACTTTAAATGATATTTTAATGTATATTTCATACAATTTTGTTTAATTTTTATTAAAAATTAACAATATTTAAAGAATTTAGAGAAAATTATTGTTTTCGATGTCAAATTGTTAATAATATTCATAATTGTTGCTATAAAATACAGCACAAGTTAGAAAAATAGTAATAAACGAAGATATGCAGTTTTATCTTTTGTTTTTGAAAACATTCACCTTGAATTAATAACCTAAACTAGCATTTATTAACAATTTATTTAAAAAAAAAAAACAAAAAAAGCTTTATTTGTTTAAACAATCAGCATGAAATGTTAAATATTTATAAAAAAATTTTGTTTTTATTAAAATTTTATTAAATATAAGACCTTTTTTAGACAAATTTAGTTTTTTATTAAATTTTTTCCCTAAAATCTACTTTAAAACAACTTTTACTTTAAACAATTCCTTAAACTTAATATTTTTTTCAATTTCGTGTTGTTATTTAGAAGTCTTCACTTCGACATTCTATTTTTTTTTTCCTAAAAAAAATATAGTGTCAAATTGCAAATCTATAAAATTGAAAAAAAAAGATGTTTTACATTAATTTTTTTCTAACTACTTATAGTAGAATGTTTTACCATTTTTGTTTTGCAAAAAATAGGGGGAAAATAAATAAATAAAATATCGATTTTGTTTGTTTTAAGTTTTTTTTGTTTTTGTTTTTTTTTTTCGTACTATTATTCATGCCTCATTATCAAGTATCTGCTGAATTGAAACATGCTAAAAAGTACACACGAATTTGTGTGTAGTTAAGTTATTGTTGTTGGATTTTTTTCTATATATTTTTTTCTTATGGCTTGCATATAGTGTTTATAGTTTTTCAAAACCCTTCACTGGAAAGGAGGTACAACTATAAGAAAACATTTTTGTTTATGATAAAGTTTGTAACAGAAAAACAAGAATTGTTTAAGAGTTATCAATTCCAAGTGAATGTTTAAATGAAAAGCAACATTAGTGATGATAACAAACGATAAACTCAGAAAGATTAACAAACCAAATTTATAACATGTGAGTCTCTACTTATTTTATAAAATTAACAGCTCTAAATGAATGACTTCAAGTTAGAGTTATCATTTTAAGATGAATGTTTACAAATAGTTCACTTTTCCTATTTTCCGTTTATTACAGTTGTTTTTAAAAAGTAGCTGTATTAAGCTACCCCTACAAACAACTGTGATGAGTAATAGTAGCAGTAGCTCATGTTGTTTTTGCTTTTACTTGTAAAGTACTCATACTTTTTTAGATTTTTTTGTCTATAATAATGACATCTTGACGTATGTCTTTTAATATATGATTTTTTTGTTATTATTATAGAGGGAAAGAGAGAGAAGGTATTTTAATATTCTAGCTTTAAAGCAAAATTATACAAACAATTGTCTTCTTAAAAGTCTGATTTATAGAAAAAAAAAAAAGCTATTTATTATTAACAACATATTTTAGAATGTAAAATTCTAACAAATAAATAATTAAATGAAGAGAAAATAAAACATTTTACAGGATTTCTTTCTCAAAACAGAGAAAAATCAATAGAAAGAAAAATAAATTGGTTCCTGCAATTATATCATAAACATTTTCAATTAAATTTTTGAAAATTCTATACGATTAAAGTCTATACAATAAGCCAAACTCAAGTCTATACTATAGACCAGACTCTAGTTTATACTATAGACCAGACTCTAGTCTATACTATAGACCAGACCCTAGTCTATACTATAGACCAGACTCTAGTCTATACTATAGACCAGACTCTAGTCTATACTATAGACCAGACTCTAGTCTATAATATAGACCAGACTCTAGTCTGTACTATAGACCAGACTCTAGTCTATACTTTATACCAGACTCTAGTCTATACTATAGACCAGACTCTAGTCTATACTATAGACCAGACTTTAGTCTATACTATAGACCAGACTTTAGTCTATACTATAGACCAGACTATAGTCTATACTATAGACCAGACTCTAGTCTATACTATAGACCAGACTCTAGTCTATACTATAGACCAGACTCTAGTCTATACTATAGACCAGACTCTAGTCTATACTATAGACCAGACTCTAGTCTATACTATAGACCAAACTCTAGTCTATACTATAGACCAGACTCTAGTCTATACTATAGACCAGACTCTAGTCTATACTATAGACCAGACTCTAGTCTATACTATAGACCAGACTCTAGTCTATACTAAAGTCCAGACTCTAGTCTATACTATAGACCAGACTATAGTCTATACTATAGACCAAACTCTAGTCTATACTATAGTCTATACTATAGACCAGACTCTAGTCTATACTATAGACCAGACTATAGTCTATACTGTAGACCAGACTCTAGTCTATTCTATAGACTAGACTCCAATCTATTCTATATATTAAACCTTATTCTCTAATCTATTCTATAGAATAGACTCTAGTCTAGTCTCTAGTCTGGTCTTCTATATATCAGTCTCTAGTCTATTCTATAGTCTAGACTCTAGTCTGTACTATAGAGTCTATTCTATAGAATAGATTAGAGAATAAGGTTTAATCTATAGAAAAGACCAGACTCTAGTTTATACTATAGGCCAGACTTTAGTCTATAATATAGACCAGACTATAGTATATACTATAGACCAGACTCTAGTCTATTCTATAGATTAAATCTTATTCTCTAATTTATTCTATAGAATAGACTCTAGTCTAGTCTCTAGTCTGGTCTATATTATAGGCTTCTATATATCAGTCTCTAATCTATTCTATAGTCCAATCTCTAGTCTATACTATAAACCGGATCGAATAGTAATGATTATGAGATCCCTAGTCTATGGAAAACAGATCGAGGAATCAATACTCTAAAAACTTAATGAGAGAGCAGCATTTTATAGAAATCTGATCGGGCGATCCTTAGTGTATAGGAAACTAATCGAGGGGTTACTATTCTATAGAAAAATTATCGAGCGATAATTAAGAAAACTGATCGAATGATGACTATTCTAAAGAAAACTGATCAAGAGATCATGTGAGCAGTATTTTAGATAAATCTGATCGAGCGATCCCTTAGGGTATAGAAAACTGATCTAGGGGTTAATATTCTAAAGAAAACTGATGAAGGGAACAAAACTCTTAAGAAAACTAATCAAGAGATTAACATTTTAAAGAAAACTTATTGAGCGATCTTTATTCATTATCTCTGATCTCAAAACAAACTATAGTCAAAATAATTTGGCTCCATATTTAGTCCCAAAATAAGGCTTAATATTAAAAAATAAGATAAATTTGTAAATAGGTACTCACCTTCTAATTTCATGCCCACTTCGAGACACTTTTGAAAACGACAATATGGACAACGCTTACGTTGTGTCTTATCAATATGACACGAACGTTCCGCTACACACGTGTACACTTTCTTATTTTGTACTGTACGCTTAAAGAAACCTTTACACGATTCACACGTCAGCAGACCATAATGATAGCCACTGACCTTATCACCACACACAGGACACAGTTCCTCGAATAGATGTTTGAAATCAATAACATCAGGCGTTGAGCCAGTGGCAGAGGCACTGGTACCACCACCACCGCCGCCACCGCCCAAAGCATTAACCCCACCCACTAAGTGGCCGGTGGAAGAGCTGGTGGCACCAACATTTGGTGGCAATAGGGACATATAAGTGCCTGAGGCTGATGAAGCCGAAGAGCCGCCATTATTACTGCCACCACCAGCACTACCGATAAGGGCAGAATTTTGGGCTGAATTGAGAGTGACAACCCCATTTATAAGGGAGACGCCGGCTGAGGGATTGGAGGTGGTTTGATTTGAGGAAGGACCATTGCCGCCATTGGCGCTCTGTTGTGAATGGGAGGAGGTGGTATCCTGATAACCTGTGGGAAAAATATATTGAGAATCGATGTTATAGATGTAGGAATATTGAAAATTGGGATTATTGGCAATATTTTGTTGTTGTTGTTGCTGTTGCTGCTGCTGTTGAGGTGGCTGTTGGTAGTGTTGAGGTTGTTGCTGATGGTAGTGATGTTGTTGTTGTTGCTGGTGATGATGTTGTTGTTGCTGCTGCTGTTGTTGTTGCTGTTGCTGTTGATGACTTGTATTGGTTAAATGTAAAGTATAAGAACTATAATCATCATTGGCATTAGTTAAATCATTATCCGTATTATTGTTATTATTATTGTTGTTGTTGTTGTTATTATTTTGATTATTATTTAATAGATGTTGTTGATTGGAATTCGAATTATTACCAGCTACCAGAGCTGGTGAGGAAGGCTGATCCTGTTCCAATTGCAATGAAAATGGTGACATATTTAGCGACGATATAAACGACGCCGTCGCTTGTTGTTGTTCCATTTTAATAACATTTTTGTTGCAAAACAAAAACATAAATTTACACACACATACACACACTCACTCTCACTCACTCTGTGTGTTTTTTTGGTTTGCAATTATTTTCTCTTTTTTTTTGTTAGTAGAACTTTTTTGCTCTCTTTCTCTCTATTCTTTATGTTTAAAGATATTTATTTGGGTTTTTGTTGTTTTTGCTTTTGATATTGCTTAGTTGCTGTTTTTGTTTGCTTTTATTAATATTAAGGTGGGTTTTCTGTTGTTGTTGTTGTTTTTATACAAAGGATTTTTGTGTTTGTTTTTTAGTTAAAGGGACGGTTTTGTTGTGATTTTGTTTTTAAAGGGAAGGGGAGGAATTGTACAGGGAAGTTGTTTTTTTAAGGGATTTTTTGTAATTTTTTTTAAATTGTTGCACTTTTTTTTTGCTAAATTTCTTGTAGAAATTTATTTTTATTTTTTTGTTTTTTGTTTTCTGAAATATTTTTCAAATATTTTAATTAAATTCGTTTTATTTTGTGAGAATTTTTTTTATAAAATTTTTTTGTTTTTATTAAATAATCTTAATTTTTTTTTAATTTTTCTAGATTTTCGAAAATTTTTTAAATTTTCTTCAATATTTTTTGCAAGATTTTCTAGCACAATTTTGCGATTTTCTGGTTTTCTGTAGAATTTTTTGTTATTCAAGTTGTGTTTTTTCGATTTTAAAGAATTTCGAAAATTTTCAAAATTTTTCGAAATTTTTCCAAATTTTTCGTAGTTCTTAGATTTTTCCAAAATTGTTGTTTTTGTTGTTTGTGTTAATTTTTATTATTCCTGTTGTTACTTTTTTCACTTTTTTCGAATTTGTTTCGAACTTTTTCGAATTTTCGAAATTTTTCGAACTTTCGAATTTATTCTCAGAAAGTTGGTTTTAGTGGTTAATCCAGTAATTTATATATATTTAAGGTTTTTTATTTATTTTTTTCAAAATTTTTCTTTAAATTTTGTTGAAATTTCAAATTTTCGAAAAAATTTTTTTGAAAAAATTTTCTTTATTTTTAAAAATTTTCAATTTATTTGTTTATATTTAGATTTTTAAGCTTTTAAAAGCTTTGTTGTTGTTGTTTTTGTTAAAATTTTTAAATTTTTTCTATGTTCGAAAATTTCGAAATTTTCGAACTTTAAGTTTTTGCTTGGTTTTGCAGGTTTTTATTAAAAATTTTAATAAAATTAAATTAATATGTTAATTTTGTTAAGTTTTCAGGGGTTTTTTTTAGGTTTAAATTTGAAATTTTTTTTAAATTTTGAAAATTTTAGTTTTTTTTGAAAAATTTTTTTAAATATTTTTTTAAATATTTTATTAATTCTTAAAATGTTGTTAATTTTGTTTTATTTGTTGTTGTTGTTTTTTAAATAATTGTTGTTGTTGTTATTCTTAAGTTTTAGGGGGATTTTTGGAATTTGTTTTGAGTTTTTTTTTTGAAATTGTTTTATATTTTTTTAATTTTAAAGTTTAAAAATTGTTTTTTTTTATAAATATTTGTTTATTTTAATTTGTTTAAATTGTTTAAAATTTTTCCAATTTTTTTAGAATTTTTCAGAATTTTTTAGAATTTTTTTCAATTTTTTTTTTTAATATTCCAAAATTTTTTTTTTCAAATTTTTTTTTAACTTTTATTAAAATATTTTTCAAAAATTGTTATTGTTATTATTTTTTCTTAATTTTTCAAAATTTTTCAATTTTTTTTCGAAATTTTTTTTTTGAAATTTTCTTTTAAATTAATTTAATAATATTTTTTAAATATTTATTATGTTTTAATTGTTGTTTATTTTTTAAAATTTTGGTCAATTTTATATTAAACATTTTTGAACACAATTTTGTTTTCTTCAAACCATTCAAAATATTTTAGAAATCACAACTTTTTTTTAAGGGAATTTTTTTTAAAAATTTTCCTTTTTTTAAATAAATTTTGATTATTTTTTTCGCTTACTTTAAATACTTTTTTTTTAATAATAATAAATTTGTATTTCTGGTTAAACAGGTACTTGGTTGTTTTAGGGATTTTTTATAAATAATGGAAGATTTTTTTTTAAAAGAAAAAAATTATTTTTTTTAACACATTTACTTTAATAATTTAATAAATATTGCACTTTATTGATTATGTTAGAAAATTATTTTATTTTCATTTTATTATAAATTATTATAAATCTTATAAAAAGTGTTAAGTTTATACAATAAACATAATCCTGGGGCTGGTTATTGCATAAATACTCAACAACTTTTTAGATCTTTTTTATGTTTAATTGTTTGGTTTTTAATTATTTTATTAAATTAAATAGTTTAAGTTTTAATTTTGCTTAATTACTTAATTTACCCTTAATTTTTTTATAACATTAAAAGTTTTTTATATATATTTAAACTTTTGTTTATTTGTTTATTTAAATAGTTAATTAATTAATATTTTATTTATTTATAAAGAGTTTTCTTTTTGTTTCATTACAGAATCTTTGTCTATTTGTTTGTTTGTTTATTAGTTTTTTGCCGAAAAACACGACCAACATCAACCACGTATCTCGATTGACTAAACCCAAGTAATGGCGAGGATACCCGCAATACTCTATGCTAAATGCTACGTTAGCGTTTCACCATAATGTCTACATAAACGTTAACATCGACGTTAGCGTTGTGCCCCAAAAGATTACGTATTATACAAACATACCTAGAGATTCTTTTTTTTTTTCAATAAACTATACATGTAATGTTTGGGCCATACAACAGCAACAACGCCAACGAAACTGAAACTGAAAACGAAAACTAAAATAAAGCTCTTTATTTTTTTACACACCAAAAAGTTTCACTTTCATTTGCTTACAAAAACAACAAACATAATAATCAAGAGTATAAAACTCATACATTTTACTAAAGCTTGAACAATACAACACAACACTCTATAAATTTTACTTTCAATTCATTTTTTTACACACACACATAGTCATCCAAAGTATACTCAATATTTATTTAACTACCAGCAAAATCATTCATACGCCTAGTAATACTACTCTTAAAAAAACACACTCTCTCTCTGGTTATCTTGCTCTCTGTTTGTTTTAACTACTCTTTTTAAAAACGAAAACGAAAGTGAAACTTTTAATATTACATTTATACATACACATTTATAAAATTATGAAAGACTTTATAAAATCTTGCCGAAAGCCCCCCTCACACACTTCTTCGATAACTCGATCGTTTACTAACATAATGGTTTGTTTATATTATAAAAACAGGGATGGAAATGTTTATAAGTTAAACGCTAAACATTAAACATTAAACTACAGACTAGACTATAGATCAGACTATAGACAAGACTATAGACTAGACTATAGACTAGACTATAGACTAGACTATATACTAGACTATAGACTAGACTATAGACTAGACTATAGACTAGACTATAGACTAGACTATAGACTAGACTATAGACTAGACTATAGACTAGACTAGAATATAGACTAGACTATAGACTAGACTATAGACTAGACTAGAATATAGACTAGACTATAGACTAGACTATAGACTAGACTAGAATATAGACTAGACTATAGACTAGACTATAGACTAGACTATAGACTAGACTATAGACTAGACTATAGACTAGACTATAGACTAGACTATAGACTAGACTATAGACTAGACTATAGACTAGACTATAGACTAAACTATAGACTATACTATAGACTAGACTATAGACTAGACTATAGACTAGATTATAGACTAGACTATAGACTAGACTAGACTAGACTATAGACTAGACTATAGACTAGACTATAGACTAGAATATAGACTAGACTATAGTCGGAACTGTAGTCCAAGCTATAGTCGAAACAATAGATTAGACGGTAACAGAGCCTGTAGACGAAAATATAGTCGACACTAGATATTAGATTATACATACTAGACTATAGACTAGACTATAGACAAGACTAGACTATAGACTAGACTATAGACTAGACTATAGACTAGACTATAGACTAGACTATAGACTAGACTATAGACTAGACTATAGACAAGACTAGATTATAGACTAGACTATAGACTAGACTAGACTATAGACTAGACTATAGACTAGACTATAGACTAGACTATAGACTAGACTATAGACTAGACTATAGACTAGACTATAGACTAGACTATAGACTAGACTATAGACTAGACTATAGACTAGACTATAGACTAGACTATAGACTAGACTATAGACTAGACTATAGACTAGACTGTAGACTAGACTCTAGACTAGACTATAGACTAGACTATAGACTAGACTATAGACTAGACTATAGACTAAACCATAGACTAGACTATAGACTAGACTATAGACTAGACTATAGACTAGACTATAGACTAGACTATAGACTAGACTATAGACTAGACTATAGACTAGACTATAGACTAGACTATAGACTAGACTATAGACTAGACTATAGACTAGACTATAGACTAGACTATAGACTAGACTATAGACTAGACTATAGACTAGACTATAGACTAGACTATAGACTAGACTATAGACTAGACTAAAGACTAGACTATAGACTAGACTAGACTAGACTATAGACTAGACTATAGACTAGACTATAGACTAGACTATAGACTAGACTATAGACTAGACTAGACTATAGACTAGACTATAGACTAGACTATAGACTAGACTATAGACTAGACTATAGACTAGACTATAGACTAGACTATAGACTAGACTATAGACTAGACTATAGACTAGACTATAGACTAGACTATAGACTAGACTATAGACTAGACTATAGACTAGTCCAAGCTATAGTCGAAACAATAGACTAGAGATCAGATTATACATACTCGGAAGCGAAGATCATACCAGACTTTAGTTAAGACTATAAACCAAATATTTTGTATTTCCATCTCTGTTTAGTAGAAACTATAATTTTTGTCTCTCTACTTTTTTGTAAATGATGATCTTTTGTTTAACGTAAAATAGATTGCAGCAATCGTATAATAGTTCGGTTTTTTTCATTTTGTTTTTATTATTATTTTGGTTTGTCATCTTATTATGTTGTAATACAAATAAATGTATAGAGAGTCAGTCACACACAGACACACTCACATATCGGAATATGAATGTAATAATAATAGTTGTTGTAAGCTTTTTTCGAATAAAAAGAGGGAATTTCTTCTTCGTAAGCTACAGCTGCTGCTGCTTCTTCTTCTCTTCTCTACTATAAACATGGTGTAATCGTGATTAGTCGTGTATTGAAGTGTTTGTTGTATGATGACGTTTTCTATTTTATTGTTATTGTTGTTACTATTGTTGTATGAAGTGTAGAAAAGTTTTAGTTTGCGTTTTTTTTTTTTTTGTATTTGTTGCATTTGTTCATGACACCGTTTTTTTGTTGTGTTTTCTTTATATCGTTTGATTTTGTTGTAGTTTTAGTTTTTTTTACTAGATATGGTCTCGTTTTTT